TTAGGGTTTAGGGTTTAGAGCCTAAATACAGGCTTCCTTGAAGGGCTCCTTTTTGGGGTTTGTAAGGGTTTCTATGGGGGTTTTCTGCCCCTTAGTTAAGGAATACAGTTTAAATCATAATATGAAGCCTGGCGACGAGGATGCTACACCCGAAACCCGAAACAATAAAACCCTAGAGCCCTGAGCGTGCAAAGAAACAATTAGTCCCGTCATCGTGCTCATCTCCTCGACCCAAAGCCCTAAACCCTAAAGCCTCAACCCTCAACCCCTGAACCTTAAACCCTAAGCAATCCCTAAACCTTAAACCCTCCCACCATGAACCCTAAACCCTACACCCCAAACCCTAAACCCTAAACACTAAATCCCCCCTCTAAACCCTAAACCCTAAACCCTAAACCCTCAACCCTAAACCCCCCCCCCTTTAAGAAAGCCGAGCTGCTTCGAGGAGGCGCAAGTTGCAAGCGCCTTCGTCTCAGCCGTGATCAACCTTTGGGTTTAGGGTGTAGGCTTTAGGGTTTAGGGTTTAGGGTTTAGGGGTTTAGGGTTTAGGGTTTAGGGTGTGGGAGTTTAGGGTTTAGGGTTTAGGGTTTAGGGGTTTAGGGTTTAGGGTTTTAGGGTTTAGGGTTTAGGGTTCCGGGGTGTTAGGGCTTTGAGGCTTTAGGGTTTAAGGTCTAGGGTTCGGGGTGTTAGGGTTTAGGGTTTGGGCTTTCTTTAGGCTTTATTTAGGGTTCGGGGTTTAGGGCTTGGGGCTTAGAGTTCGGGGTTTAGGGTTATTAGGGGTTCGGGGGTGTTAGGGCTTTTAGGGTTTAGGGTTCCGGGTTTAGGGTCTAGGGTTCGGGGTTTAGGGTTTAGGGTTTAAGGTTCGGGGTTCAGCAGCTCCGGAATTTCCGGATCGTGCCCACGACTTCACTAAGGTTTACACTAATATTGATAGAGAGGGTTGAGGGTTCGGGGTTCAGGTTTTAGGATTTAGGGGGTTCCGGGTTTAGGGTTTAGGGGTTCAGGGTCTTAAGGTTAACTGTCTCCTTCAGGTCCTTCAAGGGTTCTAGAAGGGTTTCGATACAGGATAGATGGTTGCGATGAGGGTTTATGTTTTTGGGGTGTTTGGTAGGGCTTTGGGGTACAGGGTTTAGCTATTAGGTAGGGTTTAGGGTTTAGCTGCTTTGGGGTTTATGGCTTTTGGCTTTTTGGCTCAGGCTTCGGGCAACGGAAGGGTTTGGAGTTCCGAGCTTTGGTGCTTTCGGCTACTATACCATGCTTCAGAACCATGTAAAGAAGCCGAACCGCAACCAAGCAAACAGTGCTTTGAAGCATCAACGCAACATCCAAACAAACGGAACTCTTCATACACTGAACCTGAAACCCCAATTCTTTTAGGCTTCTTGCAGAGCCGTAAAGAGATTCTGATCGGCAACTGCGCTTATTCTGGCTTATGAGGCTTCCATCCGAGTTTGGAGCGGAATCATGAGACAGTTACGATAGCCCGCACCTGCAAGCAGCAACTTCAACAACACAGCGCAAATAATGATGCCGAAACCCTTTCCGCACACCTGAGACCCTGAACCCCAAACCCTAAACTCCTGAACATAAAAAAACCCTAAACGTCCTGAGGCACACATATCTGACCTTCTGAGCCCCAGGATTACAATCCGACCTAGTTAGTACCAGGACACGTCTAGCTGGGTTAGAGGTGCAGCCACCAAACCGTTAATGACAGGGTGCCCAGGGTTTAGCTTAAAGTTAAGACTAGAACTTGACATCCTAAAACGGGTGCTGCTGAGCCGAAAGCGAGTCCCCGCCCTCATCGCTTCGGCTGTTTCAGGAGGGAGCAGTGCTTGCCGTGCCATCGGACTCAGAGGCCGGCTTGACCTTGAAGCGGTGCTTGTGCGCCGGGTGCTGGCCACCGCATGCTTGACCATTGGCAAGGCGAACAGCGCAGCGATGCTCGAATTTGCAGTTTGCATTGGTGCCTGCGTCTTGTTAAACCGCAGGCATAGCGTTTTCTTGCCATTTTTTCAGCTGCAGGTTCTGCATGGCGTGTGGAAGCTGTGCTGCTGCTGTCTGGTCCTTGTCCACCGTGCGCTGCGGCCTGGTCGGGCTGCCAGGTTTGCCAGTCTTGCCCTTGCCGTTTGCCCTTCTTTGGCTCCCAGAGATTAGCTCTAAATCCTAAACCTTAAACTCACCCTCAACCTCAAACCTTAATAAGCCTAAAGCGTCCAATGCCGAATTCCATCAGCCCCCCTCCCTCGGCCCCCCCCCCCTCCCGCCCCTGGCCCCGGCCCCCTGCCTTGCTTCGGGCTTCCGGCTTAATTCGTCTTACGCGGTCTTCCCCGGTCCTCGTCTGCTTCGCCAACGGCGCCTTCAAGGTACCAGCAGTTCGTTGGCCCTCTTTGTTTGCGGCCGGGCCGAGGCGGACGACGCGAAGCGTTTAAAATTAGGAGCTCCCAAACCCGTAGCCGCCAAAGAATCACAACCTACTTTAGGGGCCTTAACAAGGGTTTAGGGTTTAGGGGTTTAGGGGTTTAGGGGTTTAGGGTTTAGGGTTTAGGGGTTTAGGGGTTTAGGGTTTAGGGCTTAGGGTTCTAAAGCTTAAGCTGCAGGGGCCTTAACAATGGGCTCGGGTTTAGGGTTTAGGGTTCTACAGCCTAAACTGCAGGGGACAGAACTACAATAAGGAACCCTAAGGAATAAGGCTGGTAAATATTCGTTTAGGCTTCCATAGTGCTACCACGAGACTTGTTCGACTCTTTCAGCTTCGTCCTCCGCAGCATTGGGTTCGGGTTCAGGGGATTCGGATTGGGGGTTTAGAGGTTCGGATTTCGGGTTTAGAGTTGAGCGTTTAGAGGTTCGGAGTTAGGGTTTAGAGTTGAGGGTGTAGAGGTTCGGATTTCGGGTTTAGAGTTGAGGGTTTGAAGGTTCGGAGCTAGGGTTTAGAGTTTAGGGCTTAGAGGTTCGGATTTCGTATAGAGGTTCGGAGTTAGGGTTTGGGGTTTAAGGGTTAGGGTTTAGGGTTTATAGGTTCGGACTTAGGGTTTAGGGTTTCAGGGTTTAGGGTTTAGGGTGTAGGGTTTAGGGTTTTAGGGTTTAGGAGTTTGGGGTTTAGGGTTTAGAGGTTCGGATTTAGGGCCAAAGGCAAACACACAGGCACCTCGATGAGAGTGTTCTTCGGTCTTTGAGTGTCTTCGACGAAACCCCCGATGCACACTGCAATCTCAATCTAAATCATGCGATCGATCGCTCTACAACTCAGGGTCGATTCGCAAATTAAGGAGTTTTGGATGCTCTGGCCAGAACCGCGACCCAGAAACCTTGTAAACCCGAAACCCGAAACCCCAACATGTCCTTGACTTAAACATCCTCGACTACACCTAGAGCCCAGAATCCATGAGAGCCTTAGGTGTCTAGAGGGTTTCAAGAAGTTAGAGCAGCTACAGGGCTTGATAGGGTTTTATATGTACTTATAGGCTTTTGAAACGTCGTAAAGGCATAGGCACCTTAACTTATCGGAACATACAACAAGTAGATCGAACAGTTGCATCCGAATACCAACCCAATAAGGCCTCTATAAGCCTATATATTCCCTGGGACCTATGAAAACTGTAGACTCGTTACAAAATCCCCCATCAAGCTCACCGATCGGTGATGGGCCTGTCCTGCAGTTTACCACCTCCTGCTGGGCTGTCTTCAGCCTCGGCGCTTGGGGACTGCAAATGGCTGATGAATCCTGCTTTTCCGTGAGCAACTCCTAAACCCTACACGGCCCTACACCCTTAAACCCTTAAACTGCGCAAGACGTGGTTCTTAATCCCGAACCGAAGCACATCACACCGCAGCCGCTGCGCGAAGTCCAACACCGTCGTTGCGGCCCCTAAACCCTAAACCCTAATCCCCTCAACCCCTAAAACCCTAAGCCCCTAAACCCCTAAACCCTAAACCCCTAAAATCCTAAACCCCTAAAACCCTAAACCCTCTAAACCCCCAAAAGCCGATGACAGGCTCAGAGCTAGGCTGCCAGCATCCTTGTGCTTCGGGGATTTAGCGCTTGGGGCGCCCTGGGGGCTTAAAGTTGTAGGGTTTAGGGTTTAGGGTTTAGGGCTTAGGGTTTAGGGTTTAGGTTTAAGGGTTTAGGACGTGTTAGACATCTGCAGCAGGATGCTTTTGCAGTTGTCAGCTGGGCTGCGACAGGAACTCTGACTGCTTCTGGTCGAGTGCGCAGCGCAGGATTTTGTCCATCAGGAGCAGCGCGAGCGGATCGGACTCAAGGCTCTTCAGAGGGTAGGGTTTAGGGTTTAGGATTTAGGGTTTAGGGTTTAGGGTTTAGGGGTTGAATCCAACAGTGAGATACGGGAACCGAGACAGAAATGAACCTTGGTTTGGGTGTATGCAGCTTGTATATGCTAACATAGCCATATAGGGTCTATCGATGGATATAGTTAGGGTTGGCGACATTACCCTAGACTCTAAACCATGAACCCCAAACTCCAAAACCTAAGCCCTAAACCTTAAGCCCTAAGCCCCCCTAAACCCTAAACCCTACAAAGCCCTAAGCCC